CTCCTTTGAAGCACCCTTTGTGAACACTTTTGCACTGTATCAGATGTGAAGGGAGGATATTTAAAAAAAAATCAAATGGACGTAATATTGCTAGTAACTTGACCGCTTTACGCAAAGTATTCCCCAGCAATCCCAAGCTGGTCACACTGCTGAGGACAATCAGAGGTTAGAGTGGAGGTTTAGGCTCTAGGACTCCTAGACTCAGTCTTTCAGAGATTCAGCCATATTTAGCTTGACCTTTGACATGACCCAGCCTTAAACAATAGTTTCCTGGGTATGCTAAATGACCAAATCTTACCAGTCGCTGCCAAATTAATGAGCCCATGTCGTTTTAAGTTTACAATTCAGTCATAAAGCAGCCAAGTGGAAAATGAGTCAGGGACCGTTAAGAAGCCTCACACAAATTTTCAAAGAGTATAATTCCTAATTCCTCACTCCCCCCTGCAGAAGCCTCTAATCATCATTCTCTCTCCTCTCTTTGCCTCCTCAGATCCTTTAAAGATCCCTCTTCAGGATGCAAAGGAGGGTGACTAGAAAAAGTAGGTGTCAGTGGCTCTAGCTGGTCAATATGAGAGAATCCAAGCTGGGCAAAATGCAGCACACACTTACAATTTGTACCCAAACTGATGCTAGTAGCCTGCTGAAAGACCCCCCAGAGGTTCAGAACAATGCAGAATGCATATATTTCGTAAATGGAGAAAGAAAGCACAGGCCCAATGGGTCTAATATAAAAAGAGGGTTGGTTTAAAAAGGATCAAGGGAGACCTGTCCAGGAAAGCACTTGGAGCCAAGAGAACTCAATTCTGCACTCTCCACCCCAAACACAGCCAGGAGAAACTTTTGCTCTGAAACCCAACCTCCCCAAAAATAATGTTTGCTTAGTTTGTGGTTTGCTCACAAACCCAAAACTCAAGCCTGGTTTGCAAAACTTTCTCCAACTGCAGGACAATATATGTTTTCAGGCCAGGCTCAGTGGTTTTCCATGCTTCCAGCCTGACACCAAGCCAATCTTGCCACTTTTACAGAATTTTACTTTGAATTTTGAGCTGCTTCACTCTCCACCTCTTCTCTCCTGTGATTTCCCTCCATTGAATGTTAACTTGGCGTAGTATTTCCTTTGGACTCCTCCTTCCCCTTCCACATCTTCCCAGTTGGCAGGTCTGCCTGCTGCTACCTCTGCACTTTGTGCTTATACTCCACAGCCTCAGCTGCACCGCTCCTGAAATCCTTCACTCCTCTAACCTGGACTAGTGTAGCTTGCTTTTATGTGGCCTCTTCTGCATGTGCAGGATTCTGTTTCTGTTTCTTCTGCAAGTGTGAAAAAAAACCAAGAACATTCTCTTCAGCTTCAAATAACTCTATTGGCTCCCTATTAAGTTCAAAACTGTACTTTCTGTTATTAAAACTCTCCAAAGAGACCTCTCTCCGGGAATCTCTCTTTCTCTGTTCCTTTCTTTGCTTATAATCATCCACCAGTCTGCTCTTTTTGTCCCCCCCCCCTCCCCAGGAGCTAAATGTATCCCTTGAATTTGTTTCTAGTGCAATTTACTTGAATATAAAAATTAATTTATTTCAACTGTGTTCTCAAGCCTTGGGCATGGGGCTTTTGTGAATGAATTGACTAGCAGGAACAGTCCTAGAAGCTGCACAATCAAGTATAAATGTCAGAGCATTCACAGAAGTGAATTTTGAATGTATCAGTATGAATATTCATGCCAGAGAACTCCAATTCTAAGAGCTCTGCAATCAGGTCACAGAAGTGATACCATGTGATACCTATGTCTAACCAAAACTTTGTTTAACTGTTGATTTACTTGCGCAAAAACACATTTGAGGTGTGGATGCTCCAAGACTATGTCTACACTCGCGGCTTCTTGTGCGAGTAATATTCACATGAGGCTAAGCGTACAATATCGCTGAGCCTCATTTGCATATCTAATGAGCCACCATTTTTTTCAGAAGCATGAGCAAGAAGCATGTAGTGTAGACATAAAGATTTACCTCCGCTATTAGGCTGGCACAGAACGCTCCCCACCACTGTGCTGGCCCCATTCTGCAGAGGGCATGTAGAAAGTGCAGAATTATGGCCTTGCTGCCTCCTTCCAAGGCTCTCCTACCGCTGTTCAGTACCCAGCTTCTGGAGACTGGGAGGGAAGAAAAGGAAAAAGGAAGAAAATAGGGACTGCTGCCTTCTTTGAAGCACTAGAAGAGGGTAGGTCTTCTAATTTAATCCTCAAAGGCTGTGCAGACACTCAGGCTATGTCTAGACTGCAGGTTTCTTTCAGAAGAAGCTTTTCCAAAAGAAATCTTCTGAAAAAACTTCTTCTGAAAGACAGCGTCCACACTGTCAAAGTTCATCAAAAAATGATCTGCTTTTTCAAAAGTGTCTATTTCTGAAAAAAATTAACTTAAGTCCACACTAGAATTGCATTCTTTCGAAAAAAATGGAAAGAACAGAGGGGTTTTTCCAACACTGGTAAACCTCTTGCTACGAGGAAGAAGCCTTTTTCCAAAAGAGCTCTTTTGGAAAAAGGCTTCTTCCTCGTAGCAAGAGGTTTACCAGTGTTGGAAAAACCCCTCTGTTCTTTCCATTTTTTTCGAAAGAACACGATTGCAGTGTGGATGTAAGTGAAGTTTTTCAGAAAAACGAATGTTTTTCTGAAAAATCTCTGTAGTGTAGACATAGCCTCAGTCCTGATCCAAGAATTGTTTCTCAAAAATATTCTGCAACTACCTGGGAGCATGTGGCAGACTCATGAACAAGTCACTACGAGAAAAGAGGAGACCTATACATTTGAATAAATCATTAGTTACAAACAATTCCATGAGCTCTAGTCTCTCCAGCCAACAGCCTTTTTCTCTGCAGCCTGGGACACTTGGGTTTTCCTTCTGCACTGACTCACCACCTGAGTTTGAAACACAGCTACAGTCTTTTTTTCCTTACCTTTAGTTCTTATTATCTCTCTCACATTGCTTGTGTTTATTATATCTCTCTGCCATGGTTTTAAAACAGCTCAGGAAAGGCCTCTAGCCAGTGGCATACAAAATGCTATAGAAAATAACATTAGATACTACTGCATTGGATGTTTTACAGTAGAAGGCTAGTTTTTTTCTTCATTTAGAGTAAAAAAGATCCCACTCCCATGGAAGTTGCTTCTACTAACTTACTTTTGTTACTACCTTGTGATGGAGTAAAACTCCGCCATGGGCTAGAAAAGGTTAAAGAGCCACAACCACTGCAAGTGACATCATAATTATGAGGTTGAAGTGTCTGTTGAGAGTTTAGTGAGGAGCGGAATCACAGGGACTGTGGAAACTTCAAGAGGACAGAGGGACCATCACAAAGAGCTCAAGAGAATACTTCAGACTAGCTGAGAAAAAAGACTGAAGATAGAGCTCAGAGGCGGGCCTGATTTGCTGAGAGACTTTGGATATTAGTTTCTGGTTTTGCAACCTTAAAAGGGATCTGAACTAGATGCTTCACAGCAGGAGGGCTGAACTGCAGAGAGGTAGATGGCCTAGAAGGGATGTTGTAAGTAAAGATGCCTGTAATTCTGGTGGTGAGATGTAAGTGTGCACCATAACATTCCCTGAACAAACTTCTCCTGTATGCAAGTGAGTTTTAGCCTGGCCATTTACACAACAGTATGCAAGCCCCACAACACGTTAAGAATAAATCTGTTTGGAGACATGTCAACATGCTCATTAGAATTACATGAGCTGTTAGTCAAGTAGCTAAACCTAGATCTAGTTAATGGCATCCATTACACTTGAAACCTCATATAGTACAGAGATGAATTATCAGTGGACCAGTTCCTCAGCAGATGTAAACTAGCAAAGCCTATGCCAATTTGCATCAGGGCTTGCCAGAGCTCAGCCCTGGCACCCCTGGGGTTGACTGTTCATAGCAGGAGTGCTGCAATGGAGGGATGCAGCCACATCACATAGCCCTCCCACCTTTTACTATCCATAGGGGTGAGCGAAGGGGGTGAGGCAGCACAGAAGACTAAACCAGGGAAGGGCTTCAGATCAGGCACTGGTGCGCTGGTAGTTCATAGCCCCAGGCTGGGCGTTGGCACATCAAGTACAAAAGGGAAAAACACTTGAGCCCCAGCACTTCTTTCATTCTAAATTAAGCCCTGGGTAGAGCCCATTCAAGTCAATGAAGCTATGCTGACTCACAGCAGCTGAGGGGCTGATACAACAATATTTTAAAAAGCAATGCTCAGAAAACAGCCAGTTCAAAATACTTTTGTCATTATAGGTCTGGAAAGAGGCCAGTTTACAGAAAAGCTCAAATTATTTAGTGAAATATGTAAGCAGCAGTTCTTAAAATGATGGAGAGTTTAAGGCCAAATAAACTATTCCAAGTTGGATTTGCTAACCACAGGGTTTTTACTCTAAAGCACATTAGAGCTGCAAGTACAATTATTAGCTTTTGTGCTGGTTCCCCCCCCCCGATATTGGGTCATTACATTTTATTCTGGAAGCTCTGCAGAACAAACCATTGTACAACTGAGTATGACCCTTCTGGAGGCCTTTTCCTGGTTCTTTGCTCATTGCATTAGGATGCCATAAGAAATCAATCTGATTTTTAAAGCGTGGCACGGGAAGGCTATTCAGAAAACTAACAAGTCGGTGCCTCCTTTAACTCTTGTACATCTTTGCACTGAAGTCAATAAGTCCTGTAGTGTTCCACTTGCAAAGAGAACTGAGTAGCAATGAATAACACACCCAAACACAGCCCGCATTAAAAGAAGATTACTGGAGTTGGAAAGTTAGAAGGTAGACATAATTCTGCTCCCTTGTGAATATGGCTTATCAGTGCCCTGAGTTACATTATTGTACGTTATTTTTGCAACTGGACCTTTGATTTATTCAGGACACAGCGTGGACAATGAAAGAGGTAGGGCTGCATAATAAATGAGGCTGTAGTAATGTAGTTCATAAGAAGCTCAAAAGGTGGCATGCAGAATTGTTAATCAGGGCTCACAGAAATGCAGAGAATCAGAGGGTGGCATAGAGTTCCCTGAGCATCGGGGTGGCTCCAAAATAGCATCACTGACAGATCTCCAAGAACTGGGATCCCATTTTCCAGACCCATGTTCTAGGGGTGGCAACCCATACAGTTGGATGCTCCCATAAGTTGATCTGTCTGAGACTCTGTCCTCCATCCCAGATTTGCCAAACATAGGCCAGTGCCCTTGCCCACTTACAGTAAAAACCTGTTGCAGGACCCTGATGGGGAGGACGCAGTATTAGTCCAACTCAGAACTGTCCACCAAAAAGCTGTGAACCAAAATAATAAGCACATACACCCTACCCTCACCACAGCACTTCAAACCTTAACATTTTCCTTTAATGCTCACACCACTCCAAATCAAATTTGCACATGCCTCTGACTCACTTATCCAGGGTTCTTTTAGCCTTTCTCTGTGTGAGCAAAAAGCCTCAGAGCCTCTCTAGCACTGACCTGACACCAGAGGCATGCAGTCTAACACCTTTCACCTACGGCACCACCCAAACATCTCTAGCTTTCAATCACCTAAGTCTCCCCAAGGGTTGCCATCTTTGGCCAGACCCATAGCATCCAAGCATTAAGCACAAACACCCTGTACCCAGACAATACTTCCATGGGCTTATGAACTGCTCTGAAAATTGTTTATATCCCATTTTCTTGTTAGGTATTCAATTAGCTGCCTCTTTGGCAATTTAGACTCAGTTTTTTGAAAATATTCTCTCCAGTGTTGAATTTATTTGATGTTATGTGGCTGTAGAGAAAGGGTCCATGCTTCCAACAACCCTTTGGCATGATATTTACGAATTGCTTCTTGAATGTCAAAACATTGAAGCCCAAAGAAGCTATTGCAAGTTGGATTTGGTACCCACTGAATGTACTTACTAATTACTTCCTAGGCACTTCCAAAGCTATATTTGAAGTCCAAATTAAGGTGAGCACATATATAGACCATCCTTTCTCCCTCCCTTCCTGAAAACTCAAAGATTAAATCTGTGGAGGAGCTCAGCAATTTGAACGCTACACACAGAGATCTGTATTCAGGACTCTAGCTTGGTCATTTCATCTCAGATTAGCAAGATTGGGAGTGCAACAGACACTAAACATGTTTTGCATGCCCCAGCTGAGAAGGGACAATTTGCATTGCTTTCTAGCAGGGAATCTTGGAACTCTGAAAAGACCCCCTCCCATTCTTTTTAAGGATGGTTTGGTTGTGGGTTTTGTGGGGGAGGTTGTTTGTTTGTTGATATTCATAGCTGAAAAATGAGTCATTGGAAGGTCCATATTTCATAAGTGATAAAAACATCTCTCCTTCTCCCCTCCTCAACTTCCCCATACTCACAATTTTATAGGCCTGAAATTACAGATCAGCATCTTGCATTTCCATTTATGAGCACATTTGTGTATTCTGAACAGTGAAACCTGTTAATGGTTACAGTGTTTATGACCTGGGTTAAAACAGGAAAGCTATAAAGACAAATCTCTGATAAGATGATGCAAACATCAGTGAACTTAGAGATTTCTATGGGGCACCCAGCTCTCCGACCTCATTACTGAGTCAGATGGTCAAACTGTTCCCCAGGAACGGATGTATTTTGAGGTAGTAAAAGCTAAATTGGATCAGTGGGTTTAGTACAGCTAGTATTCAAGGGGAAGTGTTTGTTTTGGACGATTCAATTACTTGCTGAATTGGCTTTTTTGTGAAGTGTAATTCAAATACAGTGTTACTTTTTTTCCTGTTTACTTTGAAAGAACCATGGGCAACTATATGACAAATATTGCTTGTCTGTAAACTATAGTTCACACCCTTTACCTTCATTGGAATAAACTATGCCTCCTATTTCTTCCAACAAGTCATATAATAATTGTGGTCTTGCAGAAACAATACAGGACAATGGGTAATTTGGCATAATCAGAAAGGAGACTTTGTGATCAAATTCCACATCCTTAGAAAACACACATGCCCTCATCTCTAATATCTTAGTACCCATCTGTACTGAAACAAGTTGCCACAGGTGTAGTTTCTTGTTGTTTCTAACATTTTACATCTGTTTCTCTAAACAATCAGACAAGTGTCTTTTATATGCTGTTGGTTATATTCCCTGCAGCTAAGGCTTTGTACAGTGAGAACTGCATGTAAAGAACCACCGAACTACAATGGGCTAGAAAACTTAGCTGTCTCAGTGTTGCAGTCACTCAAATTGAGTTCAGAATTGGAGTCCTTACAGAGCAGCCTGGAGTGTGAGTGCATTGTAGCTTTGACCTGTTTACTGTCAGTGAAGAGAAGGCAATAGCAGCTGGGTGATACCGTCACTCTCGGAGGAGGCTGTTTGCCCCTCTGCAGAACTAAATGATCAGAATGAGTGGCTACAGATAATGACGGGGGAAGGTTAAAACTGAAGGATAAAGAGCATACAATGAAGATAAAAATCCTAAGAGTATTTTGCAAACACCAGCCTGAATCCAACCAAAGACTCAGAGCCCTCCACTTCTGGTGAAGCCAATGGGAGCTGTGCATATTCCAGACACTGCAGGATTAGGCCAATGGATACTGCTGAACTATTCAGTTGTTCTCACTTGCAAGTACTGAGTAGAAAAAAAATCCAGCCAAAAAGAGAAACTATTATAGCTTTTTACTCAACACTAAGGAAGCACCAAATACCATGATGGGTGCCTTGTAAGAGCATAGATAGAGTTTTCATTACTGCTACATAAAACCACTGGTATTCTGTGCCACAACACTGAGTGCATGAGATTCATATAGTAAATCAGGTTTGTAATAAATTTCTTTTTTTCTTTTTTTAGCATCTGTCTTTCCAATTAAAACCGTATTAATCTATTTTGGGGGATTTGTAATTTAATATATGTTTGCTATGAATTTATATAATAATTATGACAGAAATAAAAACCTCTGATGTCTTAAATCTATTAAACATATGCTGGATGAAAGGAAAAAGAAAGCAGAAATTTACCTTTAACTAAAGGGTACCCAGTAGGGATGTTAAAATTCAATTAACCAACTAATCGGGTAGTCAATGGAATGTCTACTGACTACTTGATTAGTCAACAAGGGGAGTCCTTGCTCTATCCCTGTGCTCGCTATCCGATCTGACTGCTGCACCTCTTCC